AATAGGTTAGAGCATTAAAAAGATACAGACTTTTAAATAAATAAAGCAAACATCTCAAAATTAACAGCAATTTCAACAGACTGGCAGTTGCCTCCATTGCACAGCTGTTAAAAGAAAATGGTAAAGCCAGTGCAAGGTCCTGCAAGTTCTGTTTGTTCTGATGTCAGACCACCTCCTGATCCAAAACTGCAGAGCAGCTGGACAGCTGCTAACATAGGTCTGCTGAGGTTTGCTTTGTGTTCTTGGTGTTGTGAGCTGATGTACAGGCACTGTCTGGTGCTGTACTGCCTATCACAGCTCCTTTCCAGCAGTATTTTGATTTACTGGCATTTACAAAGTCAGATGCTGACCTCTGGAAGGTACCAGCAGCGATGACAAGAGCCCACTGTAATGGCACCACAGCTTGAATTATGTACCCTTGTTTGTATTGCTCTTTCCCTTCACAATTCATCTGTCAACTCTGGATTGAAGATATTTAGGAAAGCCATCAGTGGGAAATACAGACTGTTAGAACTAGCTGAAGAAATAAGAGCTAGGAGGAAGGTAAATCTGTGGCTTCACAACGGTACTGCTCAGGAACTCCAGGAAAGCACAGAAGGTGCTGAAATGTAGGTATAAAATAGAAGTAGCTCTATTCACTAAGACCATGAGGATAGAAAGGGTTGCTCTGTGGAATAGAAAAAGACCCCAAAAGCCTTTGCAATAAAGCATGTGTAAGTGTCATTACTTTCGCAGCAATTAGAATAAATTAGGAAGGGGAGGGACTAAATGCTTAAGATAAAGGAGAGTTTATGCCACCAGGAAGAAATAAATATATCTAGTATACTGAACATATTGTTCCAAACATTTTTCATTGTCTTTTCTCACTGTGCAAAAAAATTGCACAAAAATAGAATGCAGTATCCTCTTAAACATGGAATTATCTTCTCATTTGTAAGAAAAGCAAATAACCCACCCGCTGTCAGAAGGAAAGTGCACATTATCTAGTGATAAGGTGGATGAGCTGTGGCAGGATTTGTCAGCCTGAGTTTATTTAGTCTTTGTCAAAGCAAATATTAAGTACATTTTTGTTCAAAATCTGACTTGTGACACCTGCTTACCTATTTTTAACTGATGAAGTTCTCACAGAAAGCCACTGCTATCTTATCTTTCAGTAGGCAAAGTGCTGTTTACCTTGCATGAGCCCAGCATTCCTTGTTTCCACAGGCAGTTTAATTAGGATGCATGTCCACCCAACAGAAGCAATGAATGGAGAGGTAAATAATAGTTGATCAGTCTGAAGAATTTCATTATCAGTGACTCATTGTAATCATTGTAATTAAAAAAGGTAAAAAGTCAAACAAGACAGTACCTCAGAATAGGTACTTGCTGCTCACCAGATAATTTGTTGGAGATTGATGCCACCACACCTTTCAGTCACAATTCAATTCTGTTAGAAAAAGCACCTTGTGTGTCAGCCTTAAAATGATCTAATTATCATTATGTTAACACGGGTCATTTGAGATGCTTTACATGGAATTATCAATGTGCACAACCTAAAGGACGCATTTAACTGGCCAGTATCTGCTTTGCATGTGTGCAGCCATGATCCTGGGACAAGCAGATGAACTGTGGCAAGTGAGAATAACAGGAAAAACTGAAGGTGGTATGGGAAAGAAATCACTGCCTGTGAGGAATTCACAGTGCTGTAGTGGCCCTCACTACTCAGCACAGCCCTGGGCCCATGCCTTCCAAAAAAAATTACCTTCTCCAACTTTGAAGCTTTTCCTAATGCTCTGAAGTTACAGTTGTGCTCAAGGAAGTAGATCCAACCTGAGGCTAGCTCTGAAAGTTTAGAATTTTCAGGAAATTTAAAAATTCCATTTGGGATTATCAGTGTGTTCCTTAGTGTGCTTCATTTGTACAGCTCCTACGAGGTTCATTCTCACAGCAACGTTCAGACAGTTTTCAGATACCCAGATGGCAATCCATATGTGTTTACCCAAAAGCAATCACATTACATATTTCTGCTTCCTTGTCATTTACTGAAAATATTGATGGATTTCTTTTAATTATTGATTGCAATTCCTTAGTATAATTTAATAGTCACAGCATACCAGACACATCGCTTGCACAATTCCACTGACTTCAGTGTTACGCTAAAGCCTTTTACCTCCAGAAGGATTACACAGTCTTGCAGAGGAAGATTGAGGTATAATACTATTTCCTGAAAAAATTCCTGATTCTTCATGGGAATTGCTCTGCCTTTTTTTATTTCCCAAGCACTCCAGAATTTGCTCAGGCAATTCAATACCTCAGAGTGCCAGACATTTATTCCCAACTGAATTATTTTTTATTTTAACACTTTTCTGAAAAGGTAATAGAATCACTGTTACTCTTTCTCTAAAGTACATATGCTATTAATTAGTTTCAGCTAAAGCTTCTACTGACATGAAACAGTACAGGTGGCCATGTGGGCAGAAAAGGGAAATTGGAAGCAAAACACCACAATGCAGTACACTGAAGGGGTACATGAGGAGACCATGGGAAAATTGCCTTGGCATCTACCATTGTGGAGAATCAACCCCACCAAAAGGGAATAGTCACCCTCAGCTGCATTTGCCTTTTAAACACTGAATCTATCACTCAGTACCCACAGAGCCAAATTGTACCAGGAACTGGTGAATCTTGTCACTGAGAAAGGTCTTGCCCAGCCTTAACCAGGCCTGACCCATAATATTGCCAGTCACATTTGCACAGGTGATCTCCTGAGCAGAAACTTCACTACAGATTCTTACTGCAAAACTGTGGGCTGTAACTTTAGTGGGTATATAAGGGAGCAAAGAATTGACCATACAGCACCAGCCTGTAGCTAGGACAGGGCAAATGTTGCCAGACCTTGATGTTGCAGAACATATCAGTTACTGTCAAAGTTACTTTCATAACCAAGGGATGAGATAAGGATATATCTTGAAATCTTTCTATTGTGGTTTCCCTGTCCCAGGGATAGGCTGACCTTCCACAGAGCCAAACACCTTGTATTTAAGATTTGGCACAGTTTAAAAGCCAGGTTTTGCTCAGGATGTACTAAAATGCCACATGTGATCAGAATGGTGAACCTTCCTTTGTGTTAACTCTATTTGCTTGGCTTTTTAATTTCTTAAACATGGCAAAAATAGTTGAAGTAATTTAGAGACATCTGTGCCAACTGAAGCAACAAGACTAATACACAGAATGAATTGAAGGGACTGGGAAGTGTTGCATGACACATCTTGACAAAGTGTCTGTTAGTTGCATTTTACTAGATAAACTTGATAGAATTATCAAGAACCTAAATTTGGACATTACCCTGCTAGTTTTGTAGAAATGAATCAGGTTATGAATGCACACATATGCTAGAACATGAACTGAGACAGAGAAATAACAAGTCTTCAAAAGGCTAAGAGCCAAAGGGTGACCTTGCTCACAAGATCCTGCCTGCAACCCATATTCTGGGTTCAGTTCCTGGCTCTTTCAGACTTCTGGTGTGGGCTTTGCTGTGCCTCACTTCCCTATTAAAAACAGAATAATTTGTAAAAAGATTTGTCTTCCAACCAGAGCCAGTCAAACACTAAACTCTGTGGCATTCTGAATTTAAAGGACCATCAGTGCTGACCAGTCAAATAACGAGCAGCTGCATCTATACCATCGCTGGTGTGTCTGTAATGATGGGCACCTCTGCTTTCTGAATGCACCTGTACTGCCCAGGGTCTCAGGGTGGGTCTTAGATTTATATAAAGGGTTTCTTTGCTGTTTGGGGTTGGCTTTGTTTTGGTTTTGAAGCCAAAGTATTTCAGTTAATCTTTGTTTTAAGGAGCGCAAGTTAGGTTTGGCTTATGGCTGGATCATGAAAACAATAAACACTACTCTGCAATAATAACTATAATTTTTTTTTTTTTGTTTAAACATCCATTATTGTTCAGGAAAGACTATCTGTTTTTAGACTCTGGAAAGTAACGAGTATTAGAGTCACTTACACTGTATTACCTGCTTTCTAAAGTAATCAGTCATTAATAAGGAAAGGATTCTTACAAAAACACACAGGCCTTGGCAAACCAAACAGGTGCTCTTTAAAGGAGATTTCATACCCTTACTGAACACTTAATATGATCCAGAAATACACCTTCGAGTCTGGGATGCATAAATTTTGTCAGCAACTGAAAAAGTAATATGTTCTCCCTTGCACCCTTCTTAAACTCTTAGTACAGTAATTAATGTACAACAGATCAGGACATGTCTGGATTTTCAGATTTTTTTTTCTCTCCTCACTAGTAGCTAAATGTCATCATTCCAAGCCAGATGGAGAGCTAAGTAACCTCTGAATATTTAATGTATTTTTGGTAGAACAGAATACTAGACTGTGCGCTTTCATCTTTTTCTGTGATGTAAAAATTTTGTCAAAGAATTAAGTTCAGTGCATACAAAAAAATTTCTAGTGATTAATTTCAGAGATACAAATGAGTACCTAATCTAAATTCACTTATTTTCTTAATTCATTGCAGTTTGTATTTACATACTTAATTAGTATTCAGAGTGCTTAAGTTTAGTTTCTGAGATATCTGAATAACTTACCTCATTAAATATGTCACCTATTTATGGAAAGAAAATAATCTAAATAATCTGCTGACTTTATAGTTATCTGCTATTTTCAGTCTCTTATTATTTTTGACATATGTTTACTAGCCAGTATTATTTTAAATTGGAACTTTATTAATTGAAAGAGGTTTTTTAGACTTCATTTGTGTTAAAAATAATCTAAAAATGCTCAGCCTACTCCTAACATTCTTACCTCTGTTTTACTCTGCAAAGTCTGTATCAAAATACAAATTGGTTGATAAAACACTTGAAGATGGCTTATTTTAAAATTCAAAGACATTGACACATTGTGTTAGACTTGACAAAACACTTGACATTTAGTTGAGAATTGTTAAAAATTAAATCCCTATCACAAATACTGTTTTCTTCCTCTTTCCCCCTCCTAGGTGTGAGCTTCATATTTTCTCCCTGAAACGACGTTACAGCTGAGGAGTTCAAGATGATTCCAAATTACTCTACTGAAGAAACTGTTAAAAGAATCCACGTGGACTGTCCTGTTTCAGGTCGGCACAGCTACATCTACATTATGGTTCCAACCGTTTACAGCATAATCTTTATCATAGGCATATTCGGGAACAGCCTGGTCGTTATCGTCATTTACTGCTACATGAAACTAAAAACCGTAGCCAGCATCTTTCTTCTCAACCTGGCCCTGGCTGACTTGTGCTTTTTGATAACGCTGCCCCTGTGGGCAGCCTACACGGCCATGGAGTACCAGTGGCCTTTTGGCAACTGTTTGTGCAAGCTGGCCTCGGCGGGGATCAGCTTCAACCTGTACGCCAGCGTGTTCCTGCTCACCTGCCTGAGCATCGACCGCTACCTGGCCATCGTGCACCCGGTGCAGTCGCGCGTCCGCCGCACCATCTTCGTGGCCCGCGTGACCTGCATCGCCATCTGGCTGCTGGCCGGCGTGGCCAGCCTGCCCGTCATCATCCACCGCAACATCTTCTTCGCTGAGAACTTGAACATGACGGTCTGCGGCTTCCGCTACGAGAGCAACAACACGACGCTCCGGGTCGGGTTAGGGTTATCCAAAAATTTGCTGGGCTTTTTAGTTCCTTTTCTGATCATATTAACAAGCTACACCTTAATTTGGAAGACTCTGAAGAAGGCGTATCAAATTCAAAAAAATAAGACTAGAAACGATGATATCTTCAAGATGATTGTAGCAATTGTGTTTTTCTTTTTCTTTTCCTGGATTCCTCATCAAGTCTTCACTTTTCTGGATGTGTTGATCCAATTACATGTAATAACAGATTGCAAAATCACCGATATTGTGGATACAGCTATGCCCTTCACCATTTGTATCGCTTACTTTAACAACTGTCTGAATCCCTTTTTTTATGTTTTTTTTGGAAAAAACTTTAAAAAATACTTCCTTCAGCTAATAAAATACATCCCACCAAACGTCAGCACACATCCAAGCCTCACAACCAAAATGAGCTCCCTCTCCTATCGGCCACCAGAAAATATCCGCTTGCACACCAAAAAGACTGCCGGGCCTTTCGACACCGATTGAGGCATTTCACAAAGTTCTTCTTTTGAACAACCTTGCGAAGCAGCAAGAACAACAAGATTCATCTGCAGTCCTGAACATCACAGCTCATTACAGCAACACTGGATCACCTCAGAGAAATCTTACTGTAAAGAGTCAGCAGTGGCCTTTCAGCTCATGTTGTAAAGAGGACTGCTTCATTTGCATTTGGTTTTTCTTTACTGAAAGCAGCCTAAGTGTTGGACAGGTGTGTCAGAGTTCCTGCCACATCCCACCGTTTGCTTGGAACTACGAAAGAAGGGGAGGGAAAACTCCTAACTTTAGTTCACAGGTGTTTCAAAAGGAAAAGCTTCTATAAATAACATGAAACACAAAGAACCTGACTTGCATATATGTGAGTTATTCTGTTGAAGAAGTGAAGCTTTGTTTCTTGTTTTGTTGGTTTATTTTTAATTACATAAATGTCCTATAATCATATTTATAATATATTTTCAAATATATGCTATATATAGAGGCCCAATTTTAAACTCAAATGGAAATTTAAGGTCCTTGAAATTGGTCTTATTCTGATTTATGCTACTATTTTTTTAATGGCAATTTTTTCATAATAATATATGCAATAAAATGCAGATTTATTTATTAAATATAGAATAAATATATTTTTAGATTTATATTCCTACTCATACATTTCAAACACTGCTTCAGAAATGTACATTTATATCTCAAGGGGTATTTTTGTAGTAGTTAAAAAAATAACTATGTGCACAGAAACAGGGTTCACTCAGCCTTTCATGATAAGCCCTGACTTTGAAGAACTTTATATACAGAAGGAGTTGACTCCATACTCTGTATGACTAAAATTAAAAAAATTCAAATTCCTGCACATTTATTAAACTCATATACCGATAAGCAAAAATATGACAATGCTTATGCATCAGTTTAACTAATAATACTTTTAGTCCCATCACAAAACATCCAAGATCAAACTTTACTTGGCTTTTATGGAATCTCTCTCCATTTATATAAAATTATGCCCAAGGTATTTTCTCACTGTACAACATTTTTTTATTTATGTGGAACAAATTCAGATTTATACTAGCATAAATCAGAACTAAAGTCTGGCTCAAAGTCTCATTACAAATCAAGAGGAAAGGTGACAAGCACTGTGGGAAGTTTCCACCAATGATATCCTCATATGTGTCTTTTTCACCTCAAATAATGAGCTTCAGATAATATTTATGCCTGATTCACACCCATTTATTGTCCTCAAAGATAATGAGTTCATAAATAGTTTTTGACACTACAAAACTTACGAAAAAATCAAAAACTTTGCATATATCATGTGGAAAATCACATGTTCCTTAAAAAATTAGAGTATTTACTATTTTCAAAATCACACCTCTAATGTGGCTTTGTCTCAAGTAGCGAGTGGTTGGATTATCCATATTTTCTGATGATCAAAATCAAAACACACAAAACAGTTATTTCTGTAGTTTAATACTTCTTAAGGAAAAAATGGGCCTACAACCAGATCTAGAAATCTTCCTACTCTTTTATTCACTTGTACTAGGGAAGTTTTTTTCAGTTTTGCCTCTGTTCTTCCAGCTGCAAAAATGGGAACAATGTGTCTACTCACATACATTGCAAGGCGCTGTGACGAGTCACAACTTCTAAAGCTGTATGATAAAAAAACCTCTTTTTCATTAAAATTTTAAGTTAATTGCAAGCTAGCATCTTGACATTTGAAGCCTGAATGTCATTTAACTATGTCATTTAAAGACATATTTAAATTGTTATACTGAATTCTTTCTATTTAGCTCACATGTGAGACAGCCATTTGCTTAAATTGAATATGGCAATAACCCGACGCATTATCAATAGCACAGAAGAGGACCGGTGCCCTAAGCTGACAAAGCTATCTAAGCTGACAAAGGACTGGCAGAGATTGTCATTTATCTGTATATTTTGTTCATGGACACACATGCTGAGCAGCATCGGGGGCTTCCCCTGGCAGAAGCATCTCTGTCCAGCCATAATTCTGTGTGCTGTGCTTGCCACCTGCTGGATGCAGCCACAAATTTGCTTTACATCTCAAAAGTTGTTACAGGAAGAAACAGCAACACTTCCCTGCCGCCTGAAGGATCTGAAGATCCTCACTGTGGCAAAACTCCTTGCCACAAACTTGTCCATCTGAGAAGCCAGTAACTTCCTTGACAGGGTCTAAGCAAGCGTTTTCTCATCACCTGCTCATCCCTTCAGTCACTGAAACCCAGCGTCCCCCAGTGACCACAACAGGGAGCTCATTTGCAAAACATTGACTGCATTACTACAGGAGTCATCTCAAAGAGAAGACATAAAAATCAAAGCCATTGGTTACTGATCTTGATCGTTTCATGCCAGATCCTGCAGTTTTAAGAGGCTGTGTATCCTAAGCTACTGGTGCCACCTGCATCTGCCTGTGCCATGTGAAAAAGCAGGAGCATGCACATTCAGCTGTGTCACTGCAGGAAAGGTAGGAAGGGACTGCACCTGGTGTGCTCCGAGGGCAGCACAGACCTTGAATCGATAGGCAAAGAAAGTGGAGGGGAAAGCTTTCCTAAATAACACAGGGAAATTTCCTTACTCCTAAGGAGTAAGGAAACAATCATCAGCTGCCAAATATGCTAGCTCCTTAAAAGAAAAAAAAAAAAAAATCAGCAGATAGCAGATACTGGAAAGCCACTCTAACTGGGTAACAGCAAGAAGTAAATTCCTTGAAGCACAGAGTTACTGTGTACAACCAGATGCTGCAGTTTCACAACACCCCAAACTGACAGCCAAGGGAAGAGCCCACAGGATGGGCACCCACACCACTTCCATCATGTATCTGCACCCAAGGCAGGTGCTGGGAAATGTGTTATTGCTGAGCCTTACACTCCCCTGCCCACCTGTGTGTGGGGCAGGCAGAGCACAGGCGAGGCAGAGGGACAGTCTGGCCTTTGCTGGGGACCCTTGGCCCTGTGGTCCCTACTGAGGGGCAGAATATTCTTTAGGGCAAGGACCTACCCAATGCCAGCAAAGGACGGAGTAAGATTTGGCTCTGTATGACTTTGCCATCTCTGGGGAACTTTGGATTGAGTCCTCTAATATCAAAAGAAAACTGGTAGATGTTTAAGAGCAAACTCCCATTACCTCAAAAACCACAAAGCTAAAACTATTAATATGCAATAGTATGCAGTTATTTTTAAAAGAAGTATCCACAGTGCTTTTCATTGCTGTGATGACCAGAGTAAAATGCTACAAACTCTTAGTCTGTCCTTGTACCTCACTGTGTTGTGAGGAGCCCAAGACAGTACTAATGGGAACAGCATATAACCCTAAATACAGGCATTACAACCCCCATTCCACCACAATTTGATTTATTTGAATGAACAATTTTTTTTTTTGCTGAATAATTACTCAATTACATATTTGACATGTACATGCATATTATCTATTTCTATTTGTTGTGCAATAGTACTTATGTGACTCATGTTTTGTGCTCTACTCCCTGCTTGTACGCCCATCCTAAATCATACTGTATAATCTACACTGGTTAGCCCAAATTCCAACAAAATCATTACAGATAGAGCAGGAATTAATCTGGCTTCTCAGCCTAACAATTTCCTCGTGTTTACATTGTTAATCAAGAGGTTGCAGAGTAAGCACAAGACCAAAAGTCCTTTACCTTGCCAGCATTACTATTTAGGTGATAGTTTCCTTTGTCTACTTGAAACTGTGACAGCACCAGAGAATACAGTAAGTTTTCTAGTTTTGCTTGAATAGCTTCAGCAAAGGTTTCTTTTGATAAACCTGACCTCCTTTTTAAGTATACTGAAGTGCAGGTATTCCCAGGGAAATATTTGCCACTGCAAGGAGAAACAAATCCTTGGGAGAGGGTGGTTGAAGGCCTAAAACAGGGACTTGTTGAATTTGTAAATATTAAGTGTTAAATGTAAATATTTATTTTTGGTTTTGCAACAGACTGGAGGGAAAAACACACACACAAAGAATAAATCATTCAGCTTAGTGCAAAGCCAGGGCTGTTCTATCAATCACTGAGTGCACCTCCACAGCGACCTCCCAGCCAAGGCTGAGCTAACAAATCCTCAATGCTACAGCCCAGCCCAAGCTCAGTGTCACCAGGGAGCTCTGCAGGTGTGGCAGGACACTCGAGGAACAGGGACAGAGCAGATCATGTCTGAGAGTTGAGTGATCTTTTTAGTGGACTAGTGCCATGGGCTCCAGCTTTGTATTTGGAAAGTTAGGTAACAAAATCTAGGTATTATTTTCTTTTCAATATTTTTGTGCAGTTGCAATTTGTGACTCATGGATGTTAATTGTTTTCTCTTTCAATAGCCATAGTTTTATATTGTAGAAGTTTACCTCGATTATATAACAACTTTCACTGTCTGAAGTATTACTGAAAACATACAGGTCATCAATAAATGTCATTGTGAAAGTCATCTCCACTTCTGTGTTGAGCACCCAAAGCAAAGAGATCTGTTTCTGTGTTGTTGTAAGTACTATACTGTTATCTGTATAACTACAGCTATATATATGTATATAGAAATAATTTTTAGGCAATATCATCCTTAAAGTATTTCTGTAACTTTTTTTACCACTATTCCTCATTGCTTTTAACCTCTATCCTCACCCAGCTCTCCCTTAAATCTTTGAGATTAACAGGTTGTGTCTGCAATTCTTATTGGAGAAAATACCTAGGTAGCTCCAAAATCACTTGTAGAACAGCAGTTCAGTAATTCATTTCTGTATCCCAGAACAGACTAAGCTAATGAAGTTTACTTGGAGTGGAGACTTAGTAAATTCCTAATTTTCCTACATACAAATTGGAGTTTGAAGCCAAATTTAGGCTTAGCCTTTTAGAAAGTAAATTTAATTTTAGGGACAGATTTATTTAGAATACTGTGTTAAACACAGGATCACATTACATTATCAATAATGGCCTTGAACAGCCTGACTCAGGCTGCCTGTAGCTGAGTATTCGATGTAAATAGATCCACTTGGAATGTAAGCAGTGCCACATCATACTGCAGCTGCAGTGGGAGCAGCTTCATGTTCCAGAAGGGAACCTGATGATAACAAGATATGATAATAAGAAGGGATAACAAGATATGATAATATGATTGGGGAGGGGAGGAGGGGTTGACAGTGAAAAGAATGGTAGATTGGATTTTGCCATTTCCAATTTGTATGAAAATAAAATAGAACTCAGTCCCTGCATATCCCTGTTAAAACTCACTTCATACCGTGTCTTACAGTGTCACATAAAAAAGTGAAAAACTGTTAAAGGTTAGGCCTGTGAAATTTTTATAGTTTATCTACTGTATAACTTATTTTCTATGTATATTAGTTATTCCTGAGCTTTGTGTACTGGTAGTGTTGTTAGGCTGCAACTAAGCAAAGGCTCTGGGGCAGGAGGACAGACAGAGTCCTACCTTGAAGCTTTATCATGAGCGATCAGAGGTTAAGAATTGTTAGAAAAGGATGGAAAGCAAAGACTGTTGCTGGACAAATACAAAACTGTAAAGATAATTAACCCCATTAAGTAGCATTTTAAGAAAAATTTTTGAACCAAAGTCAGACAGATAATTAAAAATAAAACAAAAAAAAAAATACTGAAAGAGAACTTCTACTCCACTTGGAATTACAGAGAATTTCAAGCATCTCCAACTCATATTCTCAAGCAAATGCAAACCTGGCCATTTCTGTGAAATTGAGTAAATAAACAGAAAAGTTGAAGTTAAAAGAAGTGTGTAAGATACTAGCAGCCATTTTGTTGCTATTGACTTTTCTTTCAGAAAAAAAAAAAAAAAAAAGTGGAATTATGCACTTGAAATCCATCAGTTAAATACATGCCCAGGAAAGGGAAACAACATATTGCCTATGGACTTAGATGAGCTTTGCATACCAAGCCTGAATCCTCCTCCTGCTTAGCTAAGCCTGAATCTTCCTCATGCTTAGTTTATCACATGGTGCACAACTACACCAAAAAAAAAAAACAACACCCCAAAACAGCTAAACCAGAACACAAAACAGAAATAAATTAATTTTGTGAAAATATGTATTACAGCAGTGCTATTTAATTTTCAAATCACCTATTAAACACTAAAGGATCTAAAATAAATGACTATAAACTTGTTAAAGTAAATTTTAAGCTTCTATAAGGATTATGTTTTGCACTGTAAAAAGATCAGGAATGAGAAGCAAGGTTCCAGACCCAAAGCCCACTGTCTGTACAGCAGCACCTATAAAGTGAGGCCACGTGTATGATTTGCAGGATGCCTTTCAAAGGCAAGACATAAATAAGTGCACCTGAGGTGGAATGTCACCTGCCAGAGCATTGTTAATGTTGAACATGATTTTTGTGACGTGATTATTCCAGATACAAGTGGAAAGAAGCAGTAGAAAGGCATACTCTGTATACTAGACTACTATACAGTACCATTTTTACATGTTAAATTCTGAAAAATTATATTTCTGGCATTTTTTATTTTCTCTGCTTATCTGTGATGGTTCTCTATATTATGATCTGTCATTTTTACATGCACTGTTCTGTTTAAAAAGAAAATAACACATTTTCAACAGCTTTCTGTCTAACACAACTTCAAAACCAGTAACCTTTTTCACAGAGCTGTCTACATCAGACTGATTGTATTTTGAAATACTGAAAATATTAAAACAATACAAAATAACTTTAAATAAGTGTCAGTTTAACTTATTCTTCACACTGTATGTTTAGACGGTTTCTCTCAAGTTTTGTTTCTCATTAACCCTACAAGTAACTGTTTTTAAGTCAGCAACATGGAGGAGAACCATGTACAGAGTCTGACATGAGCACTTGACTCTAGAAAAGGTACATTATCTGTACAGTTTATACCCTGGAAATTCTACAGTTGCTCAATTTTTTTTTTAATCGGCAATGTTTGTGATTCAATATCCTGTTAATTAAAAAAGACTTTAAACATTTATTGGAAAAAATACACTCTACTTACTGATTAAGCATAGATAACATTCTACCAAGGGATGTGCTCCTATAATTCTTTTCATGAGAGATTCGTCACTAATGTTCACATCAAATATGCTTTAAGTGCTTGACAGTTCAGTCCCGAAATGCCACTGTGACCCAGAAATATGCATTTGATTTAAATGTGGAACTGAATCACAATACTGTCAAGACACTAGAAAAGTATACACTACACAAAAAAAAAAAAAAAAAAAAAAAAAAAGTGCTAAGGGCATATTCCAATTTTTATCTCAGAGCCAGCCCAAAAGTCAACTGCAAACTTTTCATGCAAGATAAAGTTTTCCTTACACTTCACTGCTTATCTTGGAGCTGTTTAAAGGCTATATTTTCTGTGAAGTTGGTTCAATTATTTTGACAAGGTTATCCCATGACAAAACATGCCTTTATCTCTCCTGACATATCATTTGATTGATGATCTGGTTATGCCACAGGAGAAGCTGATCAACAGCACAAAGCCCCAGAAATCCCAGCTCCAAGGAAATCCTCACCCCAGCATCCAAACCTGCACAGCAATTCAGTGTGCAGAGAACACAGCAGTGGAATCCAGTTTCACTTATTGCAAAATAAAACTTACTCTCCTGGCCACATACAGCCATGGAGGCAATGACATCGTGAACAAAAAATATCATGGGTAGAGATATCCCTGAGATTCAACTCTTATGCAATAGCTACAATATTTCACTTACTGATAACCAACTGACTGCCAGCCAGCACATACCAACACACACCACTGCTGCTCTGGAAGTATGGACTAGAACAAACACTAGGGCTTGTTTTTGTTTGGCAAAGCCTTGCATTTAATTTATCACGTCTACACTTAAATTTTGGGCTTTCCACCCTATGGTATTTTTTCCTAACAGCTATGCATGAAATACTCTCTAGGGGTTAAGTTCATTATAACAGAGGAGAAAAACACATGGGCTATACTAACAATTTGCTCCAACACACACTGTGTTAATCCCACATTGTTTTTAAATATGTGTTTTCACAGAAAACAAAAGACTCTAAGACTTTCCCTACATGTTTTTAATTTGGGAAATGTTTGATTTCCTAAAAGCACAGAGCAACTCTCAGGAGGTCTCTAACAAATTTGAAAACAAACAAACATTCTTTTGCACAAGCTTTGAATCACAATTTAGACAGTATTTTAGATGCAAACTGCTGACTGCACATTTGACAGGATTTTGCTGGCAGTCATTCCAGTATTTCTTTATCCTTCAGAGGGCCTCTGAGTAACAGGACATAAAATATTCTTTTAACAGAGGGTAAAAATTGAAATATACACTGAACAATAAATACTGGAAGACAGGTCAATGCAGCTGTGGTTCCTAGAGCTGTGTTACCCACTATTAATTTCATTATGTTGAAAATGGTACAATTTCAAACTAAGAGCCTCTCTAACAGGCAGAAGTGCTCCAAAGGCTCATTGTTATTTCAGGCTCTTGTAAAGATATAAATCTTCAGGAATTATAGGACTTGAAGTTGCAAACATGCATTTAAGTATACTTTAAATCCCTTGGTATTCTACATTTCAACCTTCAAATTACAGCTTGCAATAGCAAGCATTGACATTGATGTAGAGAAGTCAAAGCAGGTCTGTAAACACTGGCGATAAACCTGTCACAACGGTTCCTGTGTGCAGACTATACAAGCCTTGCAAGGTTTCTGCTGGGCAGTGCCAAAATCTGTTTCTTTCCCATCTAAAATGGTACTGCTCTGTGGACATGATTACAGTTGTTAGTTTGGTAAATGAGACCGCATTTTTAACATTATGAAAAAAAAATGGAGAAAAACTATTCAATCACCTGAGTGCACAATATTGAAGAGTTGTAAGAATATGCTGAGTGACACTGGTGTGGAAAATAAGTTTGTCAGAACCACAAAATACACACTGACTCCTGTTCACACTGACATCAGCTGGAATTTATTTACTGGCTTCAATGAAGAGACAACATTAGATTCTAAAACATATCACATACTACTGTTCACTTTAGAAATGGAATAAAAATAGCATCCAAAAAGTCATTTTATCTTCTCTAAGACAGATACGAAAATATAACATGCATTGTGCCATCACCTGAAAGGATGAGCACAGAACAGATCAAGGCAAAATGATGGAGCCAAGCATTTGATCCATTTGCTTATAAAGGTTGCTTTAGACACAGCCAAGCCAATCTAGAAAACACTAAAAAATTAAACACTCTATTTCCTTATGCTGTGAAGCAGCTTCCTAGCCATCTTCTTTGGTTTGTGCAGTACCCAGCACTTCTTTGTAGCACATACTAATCAGGCTATTAACCTGATGTGATTCTGCCTCACTAACAGGGAGTTTAAAGTCATTTGCATTCAAAACATGTAAAGTGTCACTTAATAACAGAGACAGTAGAATAAAGTCATAAGTTGAGAGGAGGAAGGCAGGAGGAAACCCAAGCAGCATAAAAATTTTTATTGGCACTTATGAGTATTTCTCCCTGATTGAAGCAGAATTCATGGAACAACTACAATTCCACAACAAAGATCTGTAACTAGCCCTTAAGAACTACTGTTATTTTCTGACAGTTCAGAAACTTCTTTTGTTTATTTCAGGAAATGAAACACCAAATTTACTTTAGACTATCCAAAACTGAATGCCAGCTAATCACCCAGTGCCCATATTTTGCTGAAGCTCCCGCTATCAAATAGGAGACTTATGCACTAATTTATAATTGTAATTCATTCTTGTCACCCAGTTAGGGTTTTTTAGGTAGCAATATGCACTACGGTACCTGGTACTTAGATCATGCTGTGCAACAGAAAATATACAATCAAATACAGTGAAAGAATTATTGGAGATGAGCAGAGATAAGTTATTGTTAAACAATTTCAACAAATTCAATCAGAATTATTGTCAGCAAGATGTATGTTATAAAAAGAAAAATCAGTATTGCAATAAAGTCATATCTACACATATCACAGCACAGGCCACAGCACATGTCACAGTTGAGATGGCCACGACACACAGAGTGTCACCACACAATACCAGAAAGCATCAGCCCATACACAGTAACACCTCACCACTTCAGGCATCTGCCCACACAGAGTAACATCACATCACCCCAGAAGGCTGCAAGCATCTGCCCTCCTTGTTCTTTGTCCCAGCCTTTTATCCCCTCATGCTGATGCCCTGCCCCTGTGTGCCCTCTGCTCCCTTTGGTGTTGGTCAGTGCCCCTGGGCACTCCATGGCTCATTGCTGTCAGTGCTGCTCACAGCTGTGCCCACTGGGGATGAGGCTGGGCCAGCCCCATCCCAATCACCACAGACTCTGTGCCTACATACACAAAGACATCCAGGCTTCAACAGTATTTGTATCATGATACACCTTTATCTTAGTAGCTAAAAATTACTTCTGTGCTGTCATGAAATGTAAAATGTTTTTCGTTATCAAGTTCATACAACAAGGCTTGGATGGAATGGAGAGCTTCTACAATTCTTCATAGCAGGGACCACATTCAGACCCATCATCACGTCCTTTTCTGGTCACTTATTCAAAAATCAGAAAATATCCCTGCAGCAACTGCATTGCAATACTGCCTTAGCTGCTTGATGCAGAACAGCAATATTGGGAAATTGCCAGTGACATGGTAGCAGGGGAATGTGTGTGTCTGTGTGTTCTGTTGATTTTTGCACGTCCGTTTGGTTTGGGGGCAGGGGTTATGCATGTAGGGGGTGCATTTACTACAGTTGTTTTCTCATTTAGAAAAAGCACATATCTCAGGGTCTGTTTTTCTTCTTTGTTTCACATACTCTCCTCTTTATTTAGGTATAGCCTTTTTTATTTTGTTTTCTTTTGTTTCCCAAACAAGGTTCTCTGTCTTGGTATTTTCTAATGTTATTTGAATCTCATCTTTCACCTAATCACATTATTTCAATAAACTGGAAAGGTCCAATCCTAACCTTGCAACTAAAATTAAAAAAAAAGGCTCAAAACTTTAGACAGACAACAGCTCACTCCAAACACCACTGCAGAGCTCACCATCAGCTTACAGCCATAAAGGAAGGTAAAAATACAGCAGTGCCCATCCCAACCAAGCAAGCAGACAAATCTATCAAACACATAATTCTTACAGACCACTTCCTCTCTCCAGAAGAGGTGAACACCATCCTGTGCTTATGCCACCAGCTTCTAAAAGAATTGGGGTTTTCCTATTCTGCTTTTCCAAGTGAGAGCACAGGGCTGACAGAAAGGGAGCCCCTCCATAGCAGAGAGCTCAGACTCCCCTCTTCCATTTCACAGGTGTATGCTGTTTCCCCTGCTTTGATGTTGACCTCCTCATTATATCTAATCTTAAAACTAAATGTTATGCAGACAAGAAAGACAACAAAGCATTAGAGAAAGAGTAAAACTAGATTTTAGGTTAGCCCTGCTTCTGTTCACACATGTAGTCTGCCATTTGCTAGAACACATTTCCTCTCAGAAAGCCATTTAAGTATGAAAAATATGTAATATAATCTTTTGAACACATCCCTTTAAAATATCTACTTAGTACACCACATCACACTCGTCATGTGTATCCACAAAGTTGCAACAAATTTCATTTAAAGTTTCATTGACAAATTATTAAATACTCCCCAGTTTGCCAAATTTTCCAAGGAATACAAATCTTCATGTAAAAATGCTGCTGTGAAAGA